ATTAACTTTTGAGCTTCAATGTATGTTAAGCTCAAATATGGCATTTGATTATTATTTCATTCACTCATTCCTTCACCAAAAAGTTTTTAAACAATTATTTAATTTTATTCATTCGCTCACTTATTTTAATTTGACCAGAGGGAGGAAGAGGGAAAGTAAGAAAACAAGCCACCAGGTTCCGGACTCGAACCACGGCTGGTCATGTGGGAGTGTCCAGCTCCATAACCACCATGTTACCTTCTGGCCCCAAATATTTCCTTTTTAAAAAACAGTATTTATTTATTTATTCATTTAAAATTTGCTATATGGCACATATGCTCACCAGAGAGACAGAGAGAAAGAGAAAAAAAGAAAAGTGAGAAAGCAAGTTGCCAAGTTTGATACTCGAATCACAGTCAGCCAGGTGGGAGCCCATCACCTTAACCACCATGCCACCTGCTGACCCCATCAACAAATATTTCTTAAACTTGGGAGCACACAGTGGCACAGCTGTAAAACAAGACACTCTGTGAAGCTGACCCATGTGGGATGGTTCCAGGTTCCCAAGAAGAAACTTCCTAAGTGAGCAGGCACCTGCCCATGATCAAAGGCTGGCTAGGGTTGGCTTTCCATATGGAGACCTTGTGGCTCTGTGTGTGAAACCCAAACAAGAAATTTTTAATTTCTTAAAACCTGCAACACTTTAAAATATATATATTTCTTAAATTCTTTTTATATGATAGGTACTCTCTTGGGGAAGGGGGTGAAATGATGTTTAAAAATTTTTATAACTTTTGAAACTCAATTTAGCCTCAAAAAATTAACCCCATGGCCTAGTAGTAAAGGGAACTAGATTTCACCAAGCCAACAGTTTGATTCCCAACCCCAGTAGCTTGAAAATCACACCAAGCAGGTTTGCGGAGTTCCAATGGGATGGAGAAATTAAGCGGGAATTATGGAAAGATCACACCCCACTGAGGGATATTTCTTTTCCCTCTTCTCCCCTCCTTCTCTGTCCCTCCCTGGCAAGTGCACATGCCTTCTGGCAAAAAAAAAAAAGAAAAAACAAAATGTGATCTAAAAGGTGAAAAGGGTGATAACTGTTTTTTAAACAATTTCTTAGTTGTATTTATTTCATTATTATCAACATTTTTGAGGTGTTTGCCTTCCGGCACATGTACTCACAAACAAGAGAGGGAGAGAGAGACAGACAGTGAAAAGGAAAGTGAAAAATCACCCCCCATGAGAGATGAGCACACCACAATCCCCTCTCCTCTATTCTCCCTCTGAGGATAATGGGCATGCACATATATGTGCCTGGTGTGATTTTCAAGCTACTAGATCCAGTACTCAAACCTCGGTCAGCCATGTGAAAGTCAGGTGACGTTAACTGCTGTGCTATCTGTGGTCCATATTATTGTCATCAATTTGACCAGAGAAAGTGAGACAGCAAGTCACCAGGTCTGGGCCTCGAACTACATTTCGCCATGTGGGAATCCAGCGCCCTGCCGGCCCTGGGTGATAACTTTTTTAAGTACTGAAGCCTAAGTTTAAAGTAAAAGAAAAGCTAGTTTTCAGTGATCTCACAAAAGTATGTATATCCCTCCAAAAAACTACCATTTTAACAAAAGTAAAAGTAAAATTACATACTAATTATAGAAATTTCATAATTTACTAATATAAGCACAAACTTCAATAATCAACTTTTTTGTACCATTTTATAAGTCAAATCATACTTTTCACCACCCAACATTTCCGATACATCTTTGTAAATGACACTTGAGGTCACAAACACTAATACCTAAGCCTTTACATTGAATTATCTTTAAGAAGTAGCACTAAAAATTTAAAACATTTCAAAAATTCCAAACTCAAACATATCAGATAAACTCAAAAGTACAATGTAAGGGAACCAGCAGTTAGCATAATGGCTATGTCACTGGACTCCCACATAGTCAACCGCAGTTCGCGTCCTGGACCCGGTGACTTAAAACTCACACCGGGCACGTGTGCGTGCGTGCCCAAGATCCCGAGAGGAGAATGGAGGAGAAGGGATTATGGCGTGACCATTCCCCCTGGGGGGTGACTTCTCGCTTTCTGTCTCTGTGTCTCTGTCTGTCTGGCGAGCGCACGTGCCCTATAGCAAGAAAAAAAAAAAAAAAACCCCCTCCAAAAAAAAAAAAAAAGTACAATGTAATTTCAAATGAATACGCATTCTAACAGAAACGAAATTATAATGATCACAGAATCACTAAACAGGAATGACACAAAATGTTTAAGAGCACTTTAAACTATAATATTCTTCCATCAGTTAGGAAAATAAAGACTTCCTACCACAAAATCAATCAATAAAATCTACAGATTAGTGTAATCGAAAGGATAGGTTGGAGGCCGACAGGTGGCATGATGATCAAGGCGACTGGACTCTGACATGGCTGAATATGGTTCAAATCCCAGGCCTGGCAACTTGCTTTTTCACTTTACTTCGGTCTCTCTCTCTGGTCAACTTCAAAAAAAAATAAAAAATAAAAAAATTTTAAAAATAAGATGACAATGAATAAAACTGAAAAAAGTAATTCCTTAAAAAAAAAATGGTTAGTTTGTAAGAATTATGGGCCCTTCCAAATTTAAAATAACTCTGAAAAAAAAAGAAAAAACTCTGAACAGGGAAGCATTTCAGAATTCTGATTATGAAGATCAAAACCCAACTTTTTATAAAAGCTTTTTCAGAAAAGTGACACTCTGTTACTCTGAAATGGCAAAATTATAGTATTTTGCAGTCTCTAATATTTAAGTATACATTAAGAAAAGTGGGACCAGCAGATGGCATAATGGTTACATCGCTGGACTCTCACATAGTCGACCATGATTCAAGTCCCAGACCTGGAGGTTTAAAAAACTCATGCCAGAAGCCTGAATCCCCAAGATCCCAAGAGGAGAATGGTGAAGGGACAGTGCATTGGCCATTCCCCCTGGGGGACGGTCTCTTGCTTTCTGTCTCTCCAAAGAGTGCATGCACTCTACAACAAAAATCTCTCCCCCGCACCCAGATAAAAAGTAACAGGGCCAGTAGGTAGCAGAGTGGTTAGGGCATTGGACTCCTACATGGCCAATTGTAGTTCAAGTCCCAGACCTGGCAGCTTGCTTTCTCATTTTCCCTCTCTCTGGTGAGCACATATGCCCTATAGCAAAACTTTTAAAATAATAACTAAACTAAAATGAATTTACAAAAAAGAAAAACAAATATGCTGGATTATCAAGTCTTAACCTTATCTTGACCTGTGACACCAAGATCTTATTCTGAAATATGATGTAAAATTTACATATTCCAAGTGAACATTTAATAAGTATCACATAAAGCCAAAACTCCACTTACTGAAATATTATTTGATCAATAAATCACCCATAGTCTCCTAAAGAGTGTAGGAGATAGACATTAACTGAAACAAAAATCTGACACACCACTTATTATTTAAAGGAAATTACGAACTGGTGAACCTCTGTTCAGATTCAGCTCTACCATTTCCTCGCTAAAGTTACAGTTTTAAGACAACTTGCTTTACCTGTTTAATGAAAGTCAAAATAATACCTATCTTTTGCTACAGTTCTGGGAGTCACATGAAGCGTGTAGGTATACTTGGAAAATGGAAAAATCGTGATTGATGCTGACTGTATAAAGTAATGTCAATGAACAAATATTAGTGGTATCGATGAAGGAGGACATGATGGTAAACAGCACATGCTTCACTGTGCAGCTCACATCAGCTTTTAATTTCCCTGAAAACCTCCTCCTCCGTATCCATGAGTAATCGGTGCAGCACAATTTTTCCAGAATTGTACAGTCTATTTTACCCCATCCATACTTTTTCTTCACTACAGTTTAAAGTAAAGGTCAAAGAGAATCTAATGGTAGATTTCCAAACTATTCAGTAATTTGTATTTCTCATAGCATTAAATATAAAGCGTTCACTTCCACGGGTTAACGATAGGAATTGATAAAACTTTAGAACACTTAAACTTTTTTCAAGATTTATTTAATTTTATTTGCTATTATTTATTTTTTTAATTTGACCAGAGGGAGACAAGAGAGGAGAGGAAGTGAGAAACCAAGCCACCAGGTCCCGGACTGGAACCACAGTCGGCCATGTGGTAGTCCAGGGTCTGAACCACCACGCCACCTGCCGGGCCCCAGAATACAAACTTTTAAATTAAAATCAGTATCAACTGTTAAAAATTTCCACAAGTCGTCAAAACATTAGCAGATGGTCAAAGTGAATGCTAACAGAATTTGGAAGGAGTATAATATGCAAGACATTATCTTCTTTCCCAGAGAGTACATTAAAAACCAATTCACTAAAATATGAAGTTTCCCAAAGAGGTCGAAAGTAATTGTAGTAACAACTGAAATACACGTTACACTAAATTTCTTAAATATTCTGAAATGGCGCGTCTTTTTGTCAGTCTCCACGTTTTTTCTAACAAGACTTATAACACTAATTCCTTCAGAGAGCCCTCCGACACATGACTTCAAACATTATCATCTAAAACCTGACTCTCCCGTAAAAGCATTTTACTATAAAGATTTTAAGCTGCTTACTAATGTTGTACCTGCAAGTCTGTTTTGTTCGGATTCCAACCCTCTTAATTTTGCAAAGTTATTTTAAAGGATATGAATTCACTATTCTTTTCCACAATGATTTATACGTGTTAAAACTTTCTCCCAGACTTGAGCACAAAACAAACAGAAAAGGTTATTAAAATCACGTTGGAGAGACCACGTTACGGGCTGCAAACCAGGGATCTGGGAAGCAAAGATTAAATAAGAAAGAATCGTCTTTTTTCTCCCGCTAAGTAGAGGAAAGTGGCAGTTGGGGTCTCCTCCCTGGACAAGGAAGTTGTTAAATCCAGGCGAGACCAGCCATATTGGAAAACACTTGTCAAGGCGACCCCAGCCATATTGGAAAACACTTGTCAATTATAGTTCTGACAAGTGTTCGCGAGCACGGTCGGATGCAGCTAACCTTGTGTACCGCGGTTGTACATCAAGGCCGTCTTCTGCTCCGCCAGAGGATCGGGGCCTGTTTGGGGACCGTGTCCGAGTCAGGGCTGTCCTCAGGTCCTTGCGGAGCGCAGAGCCGAAGGGAAAG